TGGAACAATTTTTTCATGCATTTATCGCAATTTAATTTTTTCATATTTAAGATATTGTGGATATCTCGGCTTGCAGAATTGACCCAAAAGCCAGAAGTGGTAGGGGTTAAAGGAGAATTAGGTTAAACTCTAGAGGTTAAAGTGTAATTTTTGTATATAATATCGCAGTTTGTTAAGAAACTTGGATAAGCCAAAAGTAGTAAAAGTAGATTAGAAAGCATGCATGTTAAATCATTAAATTGGGCCATGGGATATTTCTCATGTGCCCTTTTTGGTCTCAAGCCTTTGTGGGTTGAGTAGGGTCTACATTGAATATAATAGCAGCTTGACCATACACGGGTGAAAGGTTGTGTGGGCCCTTTTGGAAGTGGTGGTCCCATCTAGTTAGGCTCAAAGGTTTGTGAATTTCTAGAATAGCTATAAATGCAACTCCTACCGTACAAATTCTACGGTTTTATGATTATTTCTCCTTTTGGTCCACTTTTTTTATTTTATTTTTTTGTTATTTTTACGGGATTCATATTTTAATATTAATTAACAATATAATTGATCATATTAATCTTAATTTGTTCATTCAAAATATAACAAATATTTCAAGGACAACTTTTAAAAAAAAAAATTAATTTTTCTTGAAATTTGGAAAAATCAAATAGTGTATACCAAAAAAAAGATTAAAAAATTAATTAAAATAGACATGAGAGAATAGAGAAATGTAGTAATCAATTTAGCCAAGTTGGTGGTTTCTAACATGTAGAGTATGAGAAGTACTGTCTATGACACTATTTCAAAAACTTAATTTGAGGCGTTGGAAAGTAGATGAGTCGAACTAAACTAAAGAACAAATCTTAAGTGGATGGAGTAATATATATATNTGGAATGTATGAGTTTGGTGGAGACTCAAGAATGTGAACCCACGACTAACTGAAAGTCTATCCACTTATCTCGGCAAAATGGAGTGTCATTTACTTGATTTCTAGTGTTAGGTTGACTTAAAATTGAGAAATTGTGAGGTTTATTGAATTTAATTTATATACACCGATAATGTAAAGAATTTTTATTATTTAACATGTCATAACACGTTGCCTACGTTATTTTTATGTTATTGATTCCACTAATTATGTGTCATAATAATTAGTGAATTTATGTGTAACTATCTATAATAAGTGATCAATAACAATAGTAAAAAATAAGAGAGGCAACTACCGCTACTCCTATCATTTTCCACAAGTCACTATACAAAATCCGCAGATTCAGACTTAATTGTTCCTTTTCCCATTTTGCAGACTATCAACATGGAAAAATATTTCTATTCGGTATTTGTACCAAATTAATAAATTTATGATATATGCCATTTTAAAATCAATGTTGCCACGTATATAATGTTTGGCTGACCTCTTAGTCAAGATGGTTTTCGTTGAATTTGCTTTCGAGTTAACTTGAATTTATTGCAATGAATTTGGCAGACGAAATTGTTAGATAGATGATAGCATATACTGCTAACAAATTGAAAAGTTATTTGAAGAGTTGATTTAGGGAACTTTGACTGAAAGGATGATATTAGTCTAAGGTGAAACAGACCACAATCTTAAGAAGTTCTACAGAATCTAGTCGACTATTTTCTCAGTGGGATGCTTAATATAGTAGTATAAGAAATCTGCTAGCTTTTTTGGGGGGGAGTTTATACAAGACAAACTGTATGCAGCTTTGTTTGGCTATATTCAATTAAGAATGGGAAGTAATGCAAACTGAAGTCCTCTACTCTTCCTTTTTTGTTTTTAAGTCTATTGAAGCATCAAACAAACTGGAACAATTTGCCAATATTGAGCCTGTTCTTCCACACAACTTTGTTGTAATCGAATTTCCCTTGATAAATCCCACATTATCTTGCAACAATGCTAGCTCATTGAGTTAGCAGCAGCCGTTTATTTTTCCTCCATGCCTTTATTTGAAAAGATGTGTAAATGTTTCTTATATTTCTTCTCAAGAATGATAGGAGCATCTCAAATTCAATGACTCTTACTCAATTTTTGTTTATGTTACTTTGGATGAGCAGGAGGTTTTGGAAGCTATCTGTTTGGCATGAGTGAAGTTGTTGCCAAACAAGCAGTTGAAGCTAATAATGCAGCTAATATTAAGAACCCCTCTTTGGGATGGATGATAGGGTTTCTTTTTGTTGTTAGCTTTCTTGGGCTTTTCTCAGTGGTTCCTCTTCGTAAGGTATATTACTATATCTCAGGATATGTGTAATGTATATGCATCACAAATTTCCTCACAAAAAGTTAAAAGCTGTTCGCAAGATTTAGTATTCTGCAGCTGTCACTTTTACTTTTTCCTCTACAAGTTGATTTTTTTTTTGTTATGACACTTCTCTAGAGCGTAATCAACCTTAATATTTTTTAGAACACAGATCGAGACACTAGAGCTTTATGCTCTACATAGTACTTGGAATGACATGTTAACACTTGAACTAGTCATCCTTATTTTATTCTTCTACACTGTATCTTGATAATGCAAAAAACTATGTTTCAGATTATGATCATAGACTTCAAACTGACTTATCCAAGTGGCACCGCAACTGCTCACCTTATCAACAGTTTCCACACCCCACAAGGAGCAAAGTTAGCAAAGTAAGAATATTATACATTTTAGTAAATTCTGTCAGCATTAGTACAGATGGTATGATTACAATTTTATTGTTTCTTTCTAATCGATCACTACAGGAAACAAGTTAAAGCTCTGGGAAAGTTCTTCACCTTCAGCTTCCTATGGGGTTTCTTCCAATGGTTTTTCACTGCTGGGGATGACTGTGGATTTGCAAGTTTTCCCACGTTTGGTCTTAAAGCCTATGAGAACAGGTAGGTTCTAATTCCAAATGACCTACATCGAAAGAGATGAATTGAGATTCATTGAAACTATTTACAAAATTAGTGTCTGGTTGTTTGAGGTGTGGGGATCAATAACATCTTAATATCTCCTTTCAACTTTTGTTTACTTTTATTTAACATTTTAATTGTTTCCAATCAACCAGGTTCTACTTTGACTTTTCAGCAACATATGTTGGTGTAGGGATGATATGTCCTTATCTAATTAACATCTCTTTGCTACTTGGATCTATCCTTTCTTGGGGTATAATGTGGCCTCTAATTCAGGACAGAAAGGGTCATTGGTACCCTGCAGATGAGAGTCCCGCCAGCTTTCACGGCTTGCAGGGCTATAAGGTAATCTCCTCCTTTTTCTTTTAGACCAGAAATAAGGACCAAAATGAGGCAAAATTTTCAATTCTTAAGATATCTTTTCCATAATTCTCTTCTATTGCAGGTCTTCATAGCAATAGCCATGATCCTTGGTGATGGTCTCTACAATTTCTGTAAGGTACTTGGACGAACATTATATGGTTTGTATATGCAATTGCGCATTAAAAATGAAGGTGCGGTTTTGCCAGTTGGCGCTCGTCCATCTCCTCCGGAGCCTTCCATGTCTTTTGATGACCAGCGGCGAACAGAGCTTTTCCTCAAGGATCAAATCCCGACATGGGTTGCCATAGTGGGTTATGTTGGCATTGCGGTCATCTCCATTATAACACTTCCACACATTTTCCATCAACTTAAGTGGTACCACATCATAGTGATTTATATTTTTGCACCAGTACTAGCTTTCTGCAATGCTTACGGTTGTGGTCTCACGGACTGGTCATTGGCGTCCACTTATGGGAAGCTGGCAATCTTCACAATTGGTGCATGGGCCGGGGCTGCTCACGGAGGGGTTCTTGCTGGACTTGCTGCTTGTGGTGTCATGATGAACATAGTTTCCACTGCATCCGACCTATCACAGGACTTCAAGACTGGTTATATGACATTGGCTTCCCCTCGGTCCATGTTCATAAGCCAGATCATTGGCACAGCAATGGGTTGTGTCATCTCCCCATGTGTATTTTGGCTCTTCCTTAAGGCATTCCACAGCTTAGGTACCCCAGGTTCAGCATACCCTGCCCCTTATGCGCTGGTGTTTCGTAGCATGTCTATCATAGGAGTTGAAGGTTTCTCAGCTCTGCCAAAGCACTGCCTCACCCTTTGCTATATATTCTTCGTTGGAGCTATCGTGATCAATGGCATCAGAGATCTCGTGGGAAAGAACAAGGCAAAATACATTCCTCTCCCAATGGCCATGGCCATTCCCTTCTATCTTGGCTCCTACTTTACTATTGATATGTGTCTCGGGAGCTTGATATTGTTCGTTTGGTCAAAGATAAACAAGGCCAAGGCTGATGCATTTGGACCTGCCGTGGCTTCTGGATTGATTTGTGGTGACGGGGTCTGGACTTTACCCAGTTCAATACTAGCTTTGGCAGGAGTGAAACCACCCATTTGCATGAAGTTTCTCTCTAGGAAGGATAACACCAGGGTCGATAGTTTCTTAAATTCTTGAACTCTATTCTTCTAGTAGGTGTTTTATCATTCTCTATTATTCTGTTAGTATTGCCACATGTCCGCTTAAATCATTCATGTACATATCTGGGTGGTACAATTGTCATAAATCATTTCAGCAACTGAAACAGGGATTGCTATGCTGAGTCAAGGTGTCCCTTAAAATTACAAGTACAGAATTTTTTATTTTTTTTTTAATTTTGGTGCATTGACTAGCATATATCCAACCAGAGATCAATGTGAAAGAAATATGTTGATCTCCATGTTAGAAGTACAAGTTCTAAAAGGGCATACTCTAAATATATGTTACTTAAAATTGAAAAGTATGGAAGAAAAAGAAAAGATAAAATACAATTTTCCCTTATTTCTGTATCAACTTTTGTTATTTGTTGTTTCGGAATAATCTGATTTCTTTATTGTTTAAAAGAGGTAAAATGCCTAAGTTAAAATCTAAGTGCCACATTTTAAGCATTTTTTATTTTTAACTTTTTTTTGAGTCATTTCTTATTTTTACTATTTTTAATTATTATATCTCCAAATAATTTGCCCCTCCTCCACACGATAATCAATCAAACTCCAACATAGGACAATTGTAGCAATAACTTTAATGTAGACACAATAACAGTGAAAAACAACTCCAAACATAGAATCCATCAAAGCCAATAAACAATAGAATAAAATTGTCGCTACAATGGTGGCAATCGCCGGAGCTGTGGTGGTAAGGCAACCGAGAAACGAACAGATGACAGCAAAACTATGGGTTGCTAGAGTCTTTAATTTTCTGGCCAATCTTTCAGATGAAACAAAAAGGTGAGAAGAACATATACAAAATAAAATCGGAAAATCCGGCCAAGATCCGACCATTCTTCGACGAGGTTCCTCCAGATCCGATTGTCTGGTAACAGCAAGGGGCAATTTTGGCCGGCCAGTCGGAAACTCCGAGCGGCGTAGAGTTTTTCGGCGGCCAGTAGTGATGAGAAAGTTTGGGCGATTGTTGGGTGTGAAATGAGAGAAGAAGGGAGGAAAACGGAATATCCGTGATTTGGAGGGGTTATACAGGTAGATTTTAATGGAGGAAAAAGCTTAATTGGAGAAGATGACCAAAAGTGGTCTTGGAAGATGAGAGATGGGTTGGGTGAGGGGTATCGTTTGACTTTTTCTTTTTTGTTTTTTAAGAAAATATATTAATTAAGGTGGAAATTAAGTTTTTTTTTTAGCATGACATGTGTCACGACTTTATTGGTGCTTGACATCACACAAATTTTGACGAACTGGCTAAGAAAAAAAATAGTGTTTCAGCTACATTTCAAAAAAATTAAGTGTGTAGGATAATTTTTGTCGGCAAAAAATGTATAATAGTGATTTGGTTCGGGTTAACATATGTATTTTGGCACAAAGGAAAAAAGAATGTTATCCAGAAGCATAAATAAAAGCTTGATGACGTCACCGCGTTTTGTACTTGAGTCCTTTTATTCGAGATATCACTAGCTTTTTCCAGATTCTTACTATATCTTTGTGAATATATATCTCCCTTTTCCTTGACCCGACAACCCCACCATTGTGACTCTTTCTTGGGTATTCTGTTCTGCCATATCTTAGTTATTCCTAGTGATCTAAGCTTCTTTATTACCAACCTGCAAGTTAATAGACACCTTATATATACTAGAGAAAAAAAACAAGTTTTGCTGTAAATCTTGTATATATGCAACAACTTGAATGTACCCTGTTGGAGCTGGAATTAAGATGGTCCTGACACACGACGTGCCCTCCTATGGTCCTTGTTAAGTCATTTGATTGTACTCACTGGTCGGTATTATTATTTATTGTCACTACTCACTACCTCCCCGTGTTAGGATTGGGTAATTTGCGCTCCTGCTTCCTTCTTCATAGAGAAAGGAAGGTATATAAAGAAGTTGAAGATGTGTTTGGTGTTTGTATGTGATGAAGATGAGAGGGTATTACAAAGACAGGCAGCTCCAGGAGCATGTCCTTACTGTGGAGGGTTGGTTCAAGCCTTAGACATGGAGAGCCAGTGGAGATTCTGCTTTGTCCCTCTTTATTTCAAGACTAAGCGCAGATATTATTGTACCCTTTGCACCAGGCGTCTCATCATCCAATAATTTTCCCTATCATATGATTATAGGTTATAGCCTTCTTTTTTTTAATTATCTTGTGTTCTTGAACTTCCAAGAAAATAAAGATGTAGAATCCTTTGGCTTTTCAGGTATAAAGGGTGTGTACAGTATATGTTATCTATGTTCTATAAGTTTGTTTAATGAAATGATGAATCAACTGGATGTTGGTAGCTCAAGATTGTTCTGGTGCAACTAAGCAGCTGTTCTTGCTATATCAATTTGTTTTATGAAATTGAACCAAGATGTTAAGCCGAAATTAGAAGCAGCTAAAGGTACAGAAACTACCACTAAAGTAATCCAAATAGAGGACATCTCAAGATAATCTTGAAAAACTTGTTTAACTATTTTACTTGAGTTAAACTTGGTGAATATAATTTTTCTGAAGGGCGAGCGTGGAGCTGGGGAAGTTGTGATTAATGATACTTGTAACTTGTAAGTGGTAAAGAGTTTAAATAATTTTTACGCATTTTTAAGATTGAGCGTCATAAAGAATCTTGTGGAAAATGATTTAATTTGGTTAGAGCATTTAGTTGCTAGAAGTATTCCCTTTTCCATTTTCCTTTTCGAATCCTTATAGAGTATTCTTACATATTAAAAAAAAAAAAAATTTAAGCTTAATAAAGCATTTCCGGTTAGATCTTGATACACAAAGTTAATGAAGATTATATTACATTGATCAAGCTTTCTGCACTACACTATACATGTACAATCTGGTGAAAGTTTTTAGTTTCTGCAGCTGTACATTGGAAGTAATTTTGCTTAGGCCTCAATCAGTTCTCTAATTGGTTTGCTGTTTATGTTAGCTGATGGGATATTAGTGAATTCAGAGAGTATAGCTCTGAATTCATCTCCTGTAAGAGTCTCCTTTTCTAGCAACACATCCACTAATTTGTCGATTGCCTCCCTGTTGTTCCTTATGTGGTTCTTTGCAATTTCATATGCTCTCTCAATTATGTGCCTTACCGATGCATCAATGTCTTCTGCTAGTTTCTCTGACATTTGATTCCTCGCCAGCATTCTCAGCACCACATCACCACTCTGTGTTGCTGGATCTGTTAACGCCCATGGTCCTATCTCAGACATCCCGAACATTGTCACCATCTGCTCATGATATAAACATTGGCAAGTTAATACTTGTGTGTATTCGAATATGTTGTTCTCTTTTAATGTGGTGCAACAAGATGATGTGTTAAGTAAATACCTGTCTTGCTATTTGAGTTATTTGTTGCAAGTCTCCGGCTGCACCAGTAGTGATTTCTGCTTCACCAAAAATTATTTCCTCTGCTGCTCTACCTCCTAAGCTTCCAACTATTCTAGCAAAAAGTTGCTGCTTAGATATCAAGGTTGGATCTTCACCAGGAATAAACCATGTAAGACCGCGAGCTTGCCCTCTTGGGATCAATGTAACTTTCTGTACTGCATCATGGCCAGGGGTCAATGTCCTATAAGCACAAGGACACATTCTTTAGTACTGTGTCTTTTGATTACAAATAACAAACTGAAAAGATTGAATACTTAGACAGCTTCTTAAATTTGTCCGGTTTTTTCATCTAAACACCTTGTCTAAGGGCCTGATATATTGAACACTTGATGTTAGTTGAAAATTCAATAAGGAGCAAATTACTCCCTTTTTTTGCTTCATGTATAATCTAGTATAAATGAAAATAATGAGAGGAAAGAAATGATTGTTAACTTACGCGCAGACACCATGTCCAACTTCATGATATGCTACCAAAATCTTGTTTTTGCCATCTGTCATCTTGGTTCCTTCCATTCCAGCAACAATTCTATCGATGGAATCATCAATCTCTTTCGAGGTAATCTTATCTTTTCCTCTTCTTCCAGCTAGAATAGCAGCTTCATTCATGAGGTTTGCAAGATCTGCACCACTGAATCCTGGAGTTCTCATTGCAATAACACTTAGAGACACATCTTTATCAAGCTTCTTGTTGTTACTATGAACCTTCAATATTTCTTCCCTTCCTCTTATATCAGGCAGTCCAACACTTACCTAATAAAATGAAATATCAATATAAGTGAAGTGTATTCTGGAAACTGTATAATACACCTCATTTTATTGGAATTTTACAATCAAAATCTCATTTTATACCTGTCTATCAAATCTTCCAGGTCGAAGCAAAGCTTGATCAAGAATTTCAGGCCTATTAGTGGCAGCAATGACAATGACTCCAGTGTTTCCAGTGAAACCATCCATTTCAGTGAGAAGTTGGTTAAGTGTCTGCTCTCTTTCATCATTTCCACCGCCAATACCAGTTCCTCTTTGCCTCCCAACAGCATCAATCTCATCAATAAAGACTAAACAAGGTGAATTTTCCTTTGCCTTGTTGAATAAGTCCCTAACTCTAGAAGCTCCCACACCAACAAACATCTCAACAAACTCTGAACCAGAGAGAGATAAGAATGGAACCTCTGCTTCTCCGGCAATCGCCTTAGCTAGCAATGTCTTCCCTGTCCCTGGTGGCCCTACTAAGAGAACTCCCTTTGGTATCTTTGCCCCAACTGCTGCAAACTTTTCTGGGGTTTTCAAGAACTCAACAATCTCTTGAAAATCTTGCTTTGCATCATCTACCCCAGCCACATCATCAAATGTTACTCCTGTATTTGGTTCCATCTGGAATTTTGCTTTGCTCCTGCATTATTCACAAACAAATACTAGTTATTAGTAGTTGTTGAAGATTACATCACTAGACATAATGTTCAATCTTGATCATGTTTATGGAATTTCTATTATAGCATACTGTTGGGTTTCTTAAAGAGATGGAAATGATTGAAATTGTCTCTCCTAAGTTTTATTAACTATAGAGCGATTTAAATAGCCAACTTGAAAATAAAATACACAAATTTATAAAATATTGAAAAACCTAAAATATCTCAACAACCTAAAATATCTAACCGAAATTTAAATTCAAACAAAGTAGACTACTTTTACCACTAAAAATTACTCCTTCTATTTCAATTTAGATGATACAATTTCCTATTAGTACGTTCCAAAAAGAATTATACATTTCTATAATTGAAAATAATTCAACTTTAAACTCTTTATTTTATCTATTTTAACCTTAATAAAAAACTTTTATAACTACACAAATATCATGCCCCCCACAAAGCTTTTACCTCTTAAACTTTTTCAAAAGTCTTCTGTTTTTTTTTTTTAAACTACGTGCCGAGTCAAACTAACTAATTTAAATTTAAACCGAGGAAGTATTATTCTAGTAAATTAACAGTAACAGAAGCTATATACAAGACATACCTTCCTAATCCAAAAGGCAGGTTTGGCCCTCCAGGAGTATTTGAAGAAGAGGTTCTCAACAGCAAAGAGCCAAGCAATATCAATGGAAAAGCTAAATTCCCAAGTAAATCAAGAAGTGGCCCTATGACATTCATTTCAGGGAGATGAGCAGCAAAATCTACATCCTTCTCTCTAAGTTTTCTCACCAATTCTGGTGGCAATCCTGGCAACTGAACTTTAACTCTCTGGACTTTGTTAAGAGCAGGATTGAATATCTCAGCAACAGCACTACTCTCAAAAAAATCAACTTTTTTCACAGCACCTTCATTCAAGTATTCCAAGAATCTTGAATATGACATTCTACTTGAAGTTGCTTCAATTGGTGCTTCAGTTTCTGCTCTTGCTGGTTTAGCCAAAGTCCCTGCTACAAGGCTCAAACCACTACCACTCAACAGCTTCCTCCTATTTATTCTGGTGTCTGAATATGATTTTTGACATGGGGTTTCTTTACTAAAGATTTTAGGATTGTTAGTATCCTTAGAAAGATCTTGGGATTTGCATAGGGGAAATTGAATGACAGACAAAGAAAGGGCAGGGGACATTTTCATTTTCTCAGCTCAGATTTTTGTGCTAATGTATGTAATGTGCACTTAGGGAAGTTAATGGCAGTTGACTACTTTTGGAGGGAAAGATGGTAAGAATGTTATAATATAGTTTGTTTATATAGGATTTGAAGGAGATGTTTCTAGAACTACTTTGTTTGGAATTATGTATGTGATATTTTTGTTAGTATGTACTTGGTCATTCTTGAAGGCTCCAGAGTAAATGACTTATGGCTATTAGGATATGATGTGATGGAAATTAGAAAGAAGTTCTAATAGCTCATGTTTATAATTAGCAGACAATTATATAATAAGTCTGGAGTTTAACCATACACTTGGAGAGATTGTGGGCTCTTGTTTGGACAAAATCTGGTAGGCAATTTTAGATTGACTTTTCTTTTCTGAAGAAATGACACGGTTCATTCTATAGGCTACTATTTAGGAATTAGTCAGTGCATTCTGAATTTGCATTTTTTCAAGAGTAGATTGTTTTGAATTGTGTTGAATTTAAGATTTTTAGTTTAAATTTCAGAATAAAATAAGTATTGGTTAATCTCTAAATATTATTCTCGATAATAGCTATTTGTGCACTTGCCCCTTTCTTTCTTCCAAAAAGGTTGAAGTCCAAAGAAGCAATTTTTACCTTAGATGCCTTGTATATTCTGGGCCCTGGGATCTTTATCTTGTCCTCAACAACTTTCTTCTGTAGAAGTTCAAATATTTTGACATGAAATCCCAATGTTATCTAAATATAAAATATGTTATTTGGTGAAGAAAAAAAGATATTTGTTATTCAATCAAACACCGTGATAGTAATAACATACGTCTTGGAAATGTTGATGCTGCCAAAAAAACTTGTGAGACGTACGCTTCAAAAAAAAAAAAAAAAGTTTTTCCATGAGATCTAATATATATATATATATATAATAGCAGATTATCATTTTAGAGGAAATCACAGCAAGATAGAACTAAAAGTATATCTCTCACAAAGAAAAGGGAAGTAATTTAGAGTTTTAAAGTTTTAGTACTATTAAGAACAACAAAAAAGTTTAATGGCGAAGAAAATTTTAAACCTTCGATCTTCGACTATTACTAAGCACTTGATTTGATGAATGAATTGCTGATGTAATTAGCTTTTCTAGTTAAGATGAGCTAAAACAAACCATAACGAACAAGAATAAGTTATATCGTTGTAGTTTGATCTTACACATAAAATTTTAACAAATTAGTGATACTATAATCTTAGTGGTTTAGCGATAGGTTTACTTGGAGCAATAAGTTGTAATTTAAAGACGGAGACATTATTTTTTGGAATGATTTTATTGAAGGTAATTTTTTTAGTTTAAGGTTGTATTTTCTTTGGCCTAGTTCTAATGTTCACTTCTACCCACTCTTTCCGAGTTTTTACCCCTTTCTCTACATTATGAGACATCCCAAACTTCTCCAAAAGTACCTGGGAAAGAAATTTTTTTTTTTTTTTTTTTTTTTTTTTTTTTTTTTTTTTTTTTTGGCCTCTTCCTTGTCATTTACATTTATTTAATTATTGCAAATTTAATAATTTATTTTTATCAAAATCATCGTATACAGGCGCTTCACAAGCGCAATTGACATGCACTTTTGTCATATTAGCTACATCTTCGACACATAAACATGATCTTGTTTGGGATATATTAGATATGCCCTAGATCTAATCTCATATTTGATGACATGAACATATGTTTGTGAATGTTATTTGATATAAAAATATATAGTATTTGATATTCATTTATCATAATTATTATTAATTGCTTGATTAATTTAATAAGATCCTTGATTAAATTTTGAGATTTGTCATCATGATGGAATCATGATAATGAGAGTAAAGTCTCTTACAATTTAACTTAAATTTTGTTCTTGATCGTAGGATTATTAATTTGGACATTAGTAATCTGGCTAGATCAATATTTATGTGATCGTCTTTATGGGATAAAGATTAGTTGATCTCACTAACTAAATAACATAAATAGATGATGCATATAGAGATATGATTATTGAACCGATTAATTGGATAATTTCTAATGGTTAGAATTACCATAAACTGTCAATAGGATATTCTCTTGAAGAATGTGATGTAAGAGTTTCCTTTGACCTGATATCATCATAGTAATTGACAAGTTATTTATTGTGCTTTGATACGAGATACCTATGGCCCTATTAAATATTTGTAGAATTAGTGATTGATTAAGATGGAATCTGTTAACTCTTGGTACAAAGTTTAAGCTTCATGTTATCATAAATTATAACCGACCAAATTAAGACCTTGGCCAGGGCGATTGAATAAAAGAAGAAAAGAGTTTCTTAGGTCATTCAATGGTCGATTATTTTTGACATGAACACATAGTCGGTCGCCTATTAGGATTTCACAGTTGAACCATATCTTAAGGTGACCCAGAGCTATAAGGACAGAAGGAATTAATACATTCTTCTTCTACAGGTTCTTGAGAGTAAATTGTATACTTCATGATATCCGGTCGTTAAGGAGTATTTCTAGACGTCACCCTTGATTAGTATATTGATGTGATCAATTTACTACTGGTTTAGTATTGAACCTATGGGGTCGCACACTAACGAGTGTTCTGATCTTTGCTAAAGGATTAATTACTTTATTATTTGATAATTAAATTAAAAAATTTAATTAGTCAAATAAATTCTAGTTATCAGTCCAAATAAAATATTATTTTATTCTTTGCTAGTACAAAGGATATAATTAATATTGTGGACAAAGTGAAGTTTTCTATTTTAAATAAGAAAACTAAATTACATCTCTTGGTTGACATANCGTGTAAAAACCAAGAGAGTTATTCTTGAGAAGAAAATTGATCTGAGAAAGTAATAGTGCAATGCAAAGTCAAAATAGAAAATACTATACAAGAAAATTATTTCTTGTTCTTCTACCTTTGAGTTGGGATTTTTGAGAAAAATTTCAACACAATATTTTCATTCAATTTGTTCGTGGAATTTCATTGATTAAAATATTGATAGCAAAGATGAGTCTCGGTGTGTATACGCATAGCGTCTTCGCACTATCGAAAAAATTTAAAACGAGACTCTCTTCATCAGGTACGTCTTAGATCCGATCTTTGACATGTAAATAAATTTTAAACACGAAAAATTCTGCCTAAGATTGTTATTGTCTTCCGCTACGTGTTATGAACATCGATACGCAATCATACATATCTATGGTCAAAGGTGTTTATTCATATTAAGTTTATGAAATATAGGTGTTAAAGTAAAAAAGAACTCGTAAATTTGATACCTGACTTTAAAAAATGGTGCATGTTTAGAGGTTGTTTGGTTATTCGTCTAAATTGGAACTTTATGCAATTGGTATGAAAGAGTCAATTGCCCCTAATATTGCAATGTATTCCTAGTCACATGGGCAAAGGGAAGGAAGAAGCTACCGGTTCAGCCGGACCTAATAGTTTTGATGAAAATTATATATTTATCTTAAGAAATTTTATTAAATATGTACAAATTATTAATTTAGAATTCATTAATTTAAAATATTTAGAAATCCGAACTCATAAACTTCAAATTCTAACTTTGTCTCAATCTAGTCACTTTATTCTAATTGCTCCTATTAGACCTTGACCACATCCGTAGCATAAGAAAATTTTACACTTTTATCTGTAGTAACAAATAACTTATTTTAAGCAAACTTACATGTAGATATCATTGGATAACCTAATAGTATAAAAAAGAATTACTAATGGTGTATCAAACAATGAAACAGAATGAGTATTAATTTTAATTTCTAATTAATATATAAATTAATGAATAACCAAGGTATTAAATTAGAAAATGTAGCATGTACACTCCACTTAATAGTGGGTACAGGAACGAAGCGTTTATAATATCGAGAAACGGACATAAAACCTTTTCATGTCGCGCTTTATGGCTAGTTGACACTGTACGAGGAGTTGGATTTTTAAACAAAAGGAACAAACTCATTTATTAATGAATTCGAACTTTCCGGCTTTTGCTCTTCTTTTGTCTTTTCATTTCCCTGGAAGTTCTAAGCAAAAATGGAATGGCCATCAACATCATGGAATGTGTTTGGTTCAGCAAAAACGAACATTAATATGATAGAGCAAGCAAAACAAGAACTGGAAATTTTGGAAGATCAGCACCCAAACAACTTTGAGTATCTGAAGTTGGAGCTCAGATCCTTCATCTCTTTTCTTGAATCCAACAACTCTGATTCTGTTCCTTCAACCTCTGCTGCTACTCAAGGTTATTTCTTCTTTATGTTTTTGCTATCATATGTTCCTTTGATAGTGAATTCTCTACTTAACCCGTTGCGTTTAGCTCGAACTTAATGTATATTGTTGTAAATATTTAAAATTTATATAGTTTGACCATGTATGCACACTTTTCCACCAAAAATTGTGGGCACGGCCGAAGATACATGGTCCAACTGGGGTTCAAATAATAGAATTCCTTTTGTCAGAAAATTATCCAGTATAACTATGGTAATTTAAACCAGTTCTTTTTTCGTATATATATAAATCGTGTCAAAGATAACATTGAGTAGGGGCGAAGGTGGCTCAAAAATTGTTTTTAGGTTGCAAATCTTGATTCTTGTGGCATTCTTGCACTTTTAAAAATACTCATGGTTAGATTTTTAATAATCAATGTCATTGATTGTGGGTGCATGTAATGGTAATCTTCATTCACTAGTTTAGTCAGTTTGCTCTGCTGCTGATGTTTGAGTTTGTGTGTTGGGTGTCTGAATAGAGTCATCAAGCAACAGGAAGAGGAAAAATGAAAGCTATGGTAGTCAGGGAAATCAAGAACCCAAGAAGAAACTGCAAAAAGTAGTGCTGGATCCTGTGAGTTGTACTAAGAGGAGTAGGATTGATGTTGTCTTGGAAAGAGCTCAGGCGTGTCTTCAGAAAATTCAACGGTTCAAACTTCAAAACCAGTAACAAGTGATTTTATAACTTCCTGAATGCTTACTGTTTTGTATATGTATATGTATTACTAAACAAAGTTGACACATATGTGATTGCCATTGTTCCAGCTTAGTAGAGGGTTTATTGGATTATAACCACATACCATAAAGAAACAAACACTGGTTAATGATGGAACTTGTATATAGAGAGAGAACAAAAGATGAAAGTATAATCTGCCATTTATTTCCTGGTTCTACATGTGCATGGACACCTAAATTGCCGTTGGGCTTGTATGCCAGTCATTATTTATTACCTTGGGTTTTGGTGAAACTTATCTGATGCCAAAGAAGCATTAATCCGGACTGGCTCATTCAACTGTCACTTCACTATATCTTTTACTTTAAGGTGAGATCTTGCATTAAGTGCTCAGGTAAAAATACCTGTTGCATACACCTCCGCTACAAAAATTCAACTAAGAAATTAGCACGTTTCTCTACTTTTTGATTTTGAGGTGGAAACTAAGCTGTTATATGGCCCAAAAAGCTTTAATTATAACTGGCACCCTAAGAAACAGTATGCAATTTGTGATTGTTTAATTTAATTCTGCTACTTTTTAAGGTTGATAAGAAAGCTGAATGCCTGAATGTGAGACTGAAAGCAGAAAGACTAAATCCAAATAACTCCTTGGGTTATACCATATGGTGCATTATTCCAATTTCCAAACCAAATTTCAAAATTTAATTTACATTCTTCTTCAACTAATATCAGCTTAGAACTCTTAACTCATTCATAAAAAAGGAGAAACCAAGGACCCAGAAAACTTGTGAGCAATATACAACTCAACTTGCACTTAATGCCTAAGAAACCAAAATAATTAGTCAGCAAGTAAGATACATAATTTCACTTGGTCTGTCTACGTTAGAAATAGAAATCAAGCTTCCGTCTGAATTGCTCCAAGTCCCAAATCATGCAGGATTTGGACTTCTTTTTCCAAGATGATACAGTGAATGCTCCGATTCCATTTACTTGCTTCCCCATCCTTCACGAAATTGTAGAAGTTCCAAAACAGCTTGGCTAGATGGATTTGCAACAATCGAAAAGAGTCGTGCATTGTTCAAAAAGCAGGCACTGCAAACATTACGGCCTATGTGTGCTTCACCCAAAGACCACAAGTTCTAAATCGAGTAACTCTCTTAAAGTATCAGTGATACTCAACATTCACTTGCAGCTACCACATCATCCTTTATACAGCAGCAAGTTTTGCAGCCTTGTTACATGTAATCAGTAATTGAAACTCGGCCTTTTTTTCTCAAACGCAGACCTCTATGCTGATGTGGAGGATAATTCATCTCACTCGCTGAAGTTGGTCTCTGCTACTGTGGATGTAACTCATCTCCCTGGAAGATAACAAATAGAACAAAATCAATGGACCAGATATGCAGCTTATAGCTTCTTTTCCAACAGGGAAAGATCACGACATGATTGCTGTGGACTGTTTTCTCAATGAAACATGGAGGCACGTGGATATAATGTATTCAAATAATACTCGCATAGTTGCATCTATCTTTCAACTAGTTCAAAGCTATATATGCAAACTCCCAAACATCATACCATCCTATCATATTAGTTAAAAGGTCGCTAAACACTGAAGTCCTTCATTTCATTCCTCAGACATGCATTCATGTCTGGTGCGTGAGTTTCATGTGCATAAGATTTTATGCGTTCTGTCGGGTTTCACTTAGTTAAGTTAGACTGACCTCAAGTGATAAGACTGGTTTTCTTGATCATAAGACATAAAAGAAGAAAATGTTCATACAGTGTAGAACAAGTGAGATATATTTAACTTGTTTCTGCTTCTAAAAGACATGACAGGGAGCCATGAAAAGAGGGAATTTAAATTTTTATGATAGTATAAAAGGATATGTTGTAATGAAATGAGCCAAAAAAGAATGAAATGAGCCCGAGTAGAGTCGAATGGATATAAAGGATTGATATAGCCGTCCCTAACTCGCTTGGTATTTGAGGCATAGTTACACGAATATGCTGAAATGCCGCGGACTAGAATGCTGTCATCCAACTGAAATTAAACGAAAACAACTCTTGTGTGTTTGAATCAAAAGATTTGAAATCCACCTCAGAGTAAATGAACAATATAGCACTCGTGTTCTCTATTCTTACCTCCATTTTCACGCTAAGCATTTTGTTCAATGCTTCTTGACTTTCTATGATCCTTTAGCAATTGCAAAGCATCCCTGCATTCAATCTTCATCTGAATCAGTCTTCAACTCTTCAATACCATCGTCACCCTGTCTCACGCTCGTTGGCTCAGAGTGACCTCTAGACAATCCACGCCGTCCCAAAATAACAAGATCAAGAAGCTTCCTCCTAGCCTCATACACCGGGTTCGGTTCAATCAAGCATCCCCTTTCATAAGCCTCCCTCAAAAAAACTGTATGCCTATACCCTTTTGTCGACAAATAAAATATCCCCGGATGATCCAAAAACAAGTCCCTTATATTCAAATCAATCCCAAACCACTTCCTAAAATGACTAATCTTCTCTACCTCAACCATTTTCTCAACTGTCAAACTCAAAAACTCATGAACAATCCCAACTGCTCTTTTCTCCATCTCCATCATCCCAATCTTACTCTTCCTCTTCTCCCCAATCTCCACCGCTTCGTACGGCCCCACGTACTTCAACTTTTCCCATTCCTTAACCTTTGCCTTAAAACTCCTCCTCAACTTCATCCCTGGTGGATAACTATGCTTAAAACTATACAAAATCTCATTCCTATCAACCCCACGATCCTCTTTACAACACTCCATTACCCTCCAATTATCAACAGCTGCAACTAACTCACTTTTTGGTATTACATCCCCAACAAGTTTCAACAAATGAGTGTTTGGTTCAATCCCACTATCAACGAGTGCAAAAAGATTAGACTTTTTCAAGATTACACTGTCCTCAAAATCATCAGGCAAACCAAGTTCCCTAAATACCTTGAAAATGGCTCTAAGGGGCAGTGTTTTAGTCACTGACATAGACAACATACGCACTAAACGGTTGATTACAAGTGGTAAAGAAGCATTGATAGCTGCAGCTTCTTGTTGGGTGATTTTGAGGGCGGATTCAGTGAGTGTACAAAAGGGTTGTAATTTGGTGGGGTGGTGGAAAATGTGGAAGATGTGGGGGTACTTACGGAGGAAATGGGTGGCGCCGCGGTTGAGATGGAGGCGCTGAGATAAGCGGTTGAGGATGTCAACGGACACGGCGGGGGGTGCGGCGGCGGTGTTGGTGGTAGAACCGAGGATGAGGTTTTGAATTGAGATGACTTTGAAGAGGTTTTTGTATTTGTCCATGAGTTTTTCGAAAGTGGGGTCTCGGTTTCTCGAGGCTACGTATTCAGCTGAGGTGGTTTTCCGGCGGAGGAGGAGGAGGATGGTGGTTATGGTGGGTGGTTTATGGTTTAGTTTAGAGAAGAGTTGGGTCAGCATGGTTTATCGCCGTGGTTGTTAACGGCGGTGGTGGTGATTGGTGGTAGTATTAGTGGTGGTTTGCGGCGGAAGAGTGGCATTTACGGGTAGCTTTGTGGACCTGGACTGGGATTTTCTCTGGATCTAAACATTGGACTTTTAGCCCAAATGTTGAATAAGGCTTGTTGGGCTTCGTGGCAAAATCAGCCCAAGAAGTGTTTGACCCGCCCAATTCAGCGCATCATGAGAAACTTATCAAAAGATTTCATAAAAGAAAACTTTGTTTTTTTGAAAAAATTACATTGTATAGCCGAAAATATATATTTTTTGCATATATACATTTTTGTATGTTATATACATAAAATATATAAGTTTTATCTACTTTGCGACTACCAAATATAAATAGATTTGGCCTCGGGCTAAAAATGATCTTTACCTTTTTTTGTTTGACTAGCTTTAGTGTATGTGCGATACATGTGTGGTTAGCGTCAATCATTAAAATATATGTATATGAATAACATGTAAATCAAGTTATCAAATGCTAAGTTTTAAAAATGTCTACATTAAGTTAATATTTTAAAATAAGTAACTTTGTACACAAAAAAGTATAGGGAGTTGTCATTTATTTGAACGAATACCAGAAAGAAAATTAATTAATGGCAACTAACTTAGAATATATTTTGTCTTCTAATATTTCATTCTTATTGTTTTTAACGTTTGTATTTTTAACAGTTTGACTCTTACTACTATATTATAATCTATTTTATTATAGATTTCGAAAAGAATGACTTGGATTTTTCGCAAATTAGTTAAATCAAAGACTTTTTTGGTTAAATAGGATTGTCCTTAAAATTAAAGAGATTTTTTTGTTGTTGATTTAAATATTAATAATAGCTCATCCCAAGTTTTAAATATTTAATTATAGTTATAATTTTTAAATATTCAGTATAATTAAAAAACCGTCCAGGGTACGCGCATCGCGCGTGTATCCTATCTCAATGAGTGTTTGAGTTATGAAATTAAAGTATAAGTTCCTGACATTAGTCATTAGTATTGACATTATACGTATAACTAACTCAATTGAGAAAAAAATGTCTCATACAAATCCTCAATCATGAGTTAATAATTCAATTTAAAATTCATGCCACTTTTGTAATAAATAAAGTTAGCATGCTTCCTTTTCATTTTCAGTAGTACACATAGTCATTGAACACATAAATAGTGGACAGAACTTCACACATATAGCAAACAACTAATAATCCATGAATTTCAGATGAACACAAAATCAAAGTGCCCTGAAAATGAGAAAAGACATTAATAAAGAATACTAAAGCAAGCTAGTAAAATACATCAAAAAATGACTCGGAATTATATCTGAAAGAGTATATTTAGTTTTGATATATTATTATTCAAGTGGAATTAGTATTTAAATAATTCTAATATTGATGTCACGACCCGAAATTCTCACCTTCGGACCGTGATGGCGCCTAACATTTCACTTACTAGGCAAGCCAGCGTTAGAATGATATTAACCAATTTTTAGACAATCTTTAAATTTATTAATAACAAATAAATAAACACGGAAGTAAGGTCTGAAATATAGTGATTAATCCATAAAGACAACGGTGTCTAAATATCATCCCAGAATTGGTGTCACAAGTGCACGAGCTTATAGAATAAATACAAATAAAGGTCTGAATAAAATAAAGCTGTCTGGAAACAAACACACAGCTAAAATAAAGTAGATGGGGACTTCAGAACAGCGAACGTCGTGCAGTTATACCTCAAGTCTCCTCCGAGTAGCTGAAATCCGAGCAAGTCTATGGCACGCCGCTGAGACCAACTCCGAAATCTGCACAAGAAGTGCAGAGCGTAGTATCAGTACAACCGACCCCATGTACTGGTAAGTGCTGAGCCTAACATCGACGAAGTAGTGACGAGGCTAAGGCGGGTCACTTACATTGCATGTACGCAATATTAGTAATAACAACAATAATAGAAATAAATCAGGTAACTTGTTTATAATAATTAAAGCCAACTTAGCAGTCATAACCAATTATCATTTCCATCAATTCTGTTGCAGCGTGCAACCCACTCTCACAATANGGCAAGTAGCAAATTATTTTGGAAATCAGAGAGAAAATATGCAGTTTAATATTTAATATGTTGAATGTAAAATAACAATTAAGGCATATAATTCAAATAACATGTAATAATTAATGCAGAAATTTAAGAATTAATATTTGACAAAGAATATGAGAGAAACACTTATTATAACAATTAATTCATGATTTAAAATAATTTATGATTTTTAAGTAAATACGCAAACAATTAATATGACGACGTATACACACTCGTCACCTCGCCTATACGTCGTTCACATATATTTCACATTACAAATAATTTAAGGGTTCTATTTTCTCAAGTCAAGGTTAACCACAACACTTACCTCGCTTTGCAAATTACAATCGATTACTCAACCATAACTTTTTCTTTTAAATTTGTCTCCGAAAGCTTCAAATCTATTCACAAACAATTCAATATACTCAATACGAATCATATGAATTAATTTCATATGAATTTACTAATTTTTCGAATAAAATTCGAAATTTATTAAAATATTCGGCAGTGAGACCCACGTCTCAAAGCTCGGAAAAACTTACGAAATCCGAACACACATTCTGAGACGAGTCCAACCATACAAAAATTATCCAACTCCGATATCAAATGGACCTTCAAATCTTAAATTTTTGTTTTTGAAAGAATTTATAAAAAAAACTAATTTTTCCTCCTTAAATTTACGGATTCATGATATAAATGAGTATGAAATCATGAAATAAAACCAATATAGGATAAGGAACACTTATCCCAATATTTTTTCGTAAAAATTGCCCAAAAATCACCTCTTGAGGTTTAGGGTTCGAAAAATTGAAGAATGAATGAAAAATCCCGTCTAAGTCCAAAGTTATTAGCTGCGGATGTCGCATTTGCGACCATTAAGATTACAAATAATAGTTATAAAAATATGCACACAACCATTTCCATTAAACAAAGTTTCTATATTGCATAAGATATAAGATTTGAAGATTTGTACATAGTATCTTTTCCATGGGACAAATTCCAAAATATATTTAGATAGAAAATTTAACTGTTAATCTCTTAGATTGTCTTCAAAGGAAAGTTATTGGATACCATTTTTCTGAAAATTTGTACATGAAAATTCGCCAATTCAAGTGTTATACATGTACATTTTCTAGTAAAAAGGTCCTTGTATGCAATGTAGAAAATCTATTATGGAATAAATTAGTTTCCAACAAAAAAAATAGAAAAACATATTATCATTTAAATATGTTAGGGATTGGTTTCAAGAGAAAATATAGGGAAAAAATATTAAAAAGTACTAAGAACGTTTTCATTAAGGAAATAAATGCATTGGGTGCGTGATTATAGGTACATGGTTTGAAGGTGTCTGCTAAAAATATAATTATTTAATTGCCATGTGCGTAAAATAAATATTATTGCTACGTTTCTGGAAATTTTCCTTAAATTATGCCTATTTATGTTTTTTGCCCTTCATATTTGGATTGAAATGGGCCGCAAGATAGGCTAAAACAAGGGTTATAACTCAACCGTCAACTCTTATTAAATTTTTATTTCTTTGTCTATTTTCTTATTCTTTAATTAGCAAACAAATTAATATAAAATATTTCTTTATTATAGCTTTATACGACATATCTATATTATATTAAAAGCACGAAAGCCTTTAGCGAAATATCGTTCGTCATTTTTATCCTTTAAAAATAGAGTTTATATTGGATAAAATAGTAATTTAGTTATTTTCCTAATATGTAGGAATACTCATTTAATTATTTTTCTAATAATTAGGAATACTCATTTAATTATTTTCCTAATATTTAGGACTACAAAATCAACTAAATTTTATATATTACATTCTTCCTTATTTGGATTACGTAGAAAAATTTAATATTTAGAACTTCAAAAATATTAACATTTTATTTTATATAAATTTTTACACTTCAATTATTTATAAATGGCAAGAAAAGGAAAGAATTAAAAATACTAACCAAATAGGACGTAACGACTTGGTATTTAGAAGTTTATCCCTTTGGACAAATACCAAGAATTCAATCAAAAAAGAAAGAGGACGTACGACTGTAAGGCCCCGTAAAATTTTGCAAAAGAAAATAATGTTTTGTGGTGTCGAATTGATTTTACGTGTTGTGTATTATAGAAATTCTTCGCGACAAGATTGCGAGCCACAGCTCGGACTTTTTGGGTTGAACAATGCACCGGAAAGTAAAGAAAAAGTTTTGGCGGAAAAATGCATTTCTGCGGTCCATTATGCGACCACAGAATCACTCCGCGGACCGCATAATGGCCACATAAGTGAGGCAGAAGAGGGTCAACTTGGATGCAATTACGCGGTCGACTATGCGACCGCATAACTGTTATGCGGTTCATTATACGCCCGCAGATCAGTTATGCGGACCGCATAGTAACCGCAGACACAAACAAATTTTTTATCGTTTTGGTCAGCAATTATGCGACCGATATGCGGTCCGCATATTGATTATGCGATCGCAGAACCTGTTCCGGAGCTTCATTTTTTGGTTTTTAAAATCCGACCCTATTTCGTTAAATATACTATTTGGGCCATTTTTGAGCTATAATCTAACATTTTAGAGTGAGAGAGCGTGCCCTAGAGTGAGAAGGTGTTCTTCAATAATTATTCTTCAATTCTTGCTCAAGTTTTGGAAGATTAAGAAGGAAAACTGTCACGACCCAATTTCACATGTAGGTCGTGATGGCGCCCAACATTACCGCTAGGCAAGCCAACTAATAAATTAAGCATACATTGATAAAATTTAAAACCAAGAAAATATAAAACCAAACTCTACCAATGTGTGTGCCAAGACCTGGTGTCACAAGTGAATGAGCATCTAGTAGATTATACAAAAACTCCAAATACTGTCTGAAATAAAATAGACAGAATATAAATATCAGAAGAGACACTGGTAGCTGCAGAACGGCTCAGAAAGGCAGCTCACCACTATGCCTCTGGATGACGTAGGTATGT